TCGACGATTTTGTCGTTGCAATTTTTGTGTCAGCAAAATTCTATGTTCTCACTGATTTTACGCGTTATAACAACTTATGAAACCTTCCAAGGCTTGGAGTACGAATTTGAATGACTCTTCAAGTAAGGTATTTTATATATTTTCTTTGTCATCATATGGTAATGTCATTTTTTTACTGACATTAGATAAAAAAAATTGTTTTTTAAAAAGAATCAAATTGAATACTTAAAGCCCAAATAGTAAACTAAATAATTAAAACACAGCGAAACCAAAAAAGGCCCAAATAACAAAGGCCTAATGTGTTTGTAGAGGCGGCTTTGAGTCAATTTAAGGAAAAGTAAAACTCGTGCAAAATACGGTACTTTAGTGTATTTTTACTTTTCCTCGTTGACTATTGACCACGACTTTTAAAACTCGGTGGTGGTCACTCGTTCGTTCACCGCCACGAAAGCCGTCGGAAAAATCACCATGGATTGTCCTCCGACGAAGCTCGATTATCACATAGACATGTTCAAACTTCAATCTCAAGCCAGATTTCTCTCCTTATATAAGGTCCGTCTTCATAATACCAATGCTGGATCCTCCAATACGATTCTCTTCTCTTTGTATCGCTTAATACTTTCTATGTTACCATTTGATTTCAGGCGCAAGATGGACGCACGGCTCTGATACTGGACTCGACTGTGTTTCATCCACAAGGTGGAGGCCAGCCGTCGGATACTGGCTTCATCGTTTTCTCTGTTTCGGATTTCAAGTTTTCCGTTCAAGATGTTCGATCGAAAGACGGAATTGTAATATATTAAATTTCAATTAGTGCTTAGAGTAGTTTGGTTTTCAAGTTTGTTCGGAGTTTTATTTATGATGTTTGTGTTTGTGTATTCCCTTTTAGGTTCTCCATTACGGAGTTTTCGAAGGTTCGAATGGTGAAAATGGAACTGAGAAAGGGGGAGAAGTTCACTTGATTGTTGATGAATCAAGACGCAAACTTAATTCCAGGTAAGAAAATGTTGATTGAATCTGACTATAAAGCTTAGCTTGTAGTTTGATGATTGATTGTAGTTTTGGCATTGAAAACTTGTTAGGAACAAATTTCTGCAAAATAGATTCTGAGTTGTGTAGTTTTCAATTCTTGCATTTTTGTTGTTATTTGTGCCTGGAATCTATGTTGAAGTTAAGATTTTGTTTTCATGATCAGGTTGCACTCAGCTGGACACTTGCTAGATTTGTGTATGCAGAAAGTTGGGTTAGGACATTTGGAGCCTGGGAAAGGGTACCATTTTCCGGACGGGTAAAGAATCTCGTTTAAAAGATTTGTCATCCGTTTGTCCCTTTGCGAGTGTTCGTTAAACATAGCTGATTAATAAAAGATGGTGATCTAACTACAATACAATCAGTCCTTTTGTGGAATACAAGGGAGTCGTTCCACAGAATGAATTGCAGGGGAAGCAGAAAGAGTTGGAGGCAGAAGCCAACGAACTCATATCCAAAGGAGGAAAGGTAAGTCCACAGAGTCTCTTATTTATATGGTTGGATTCATTTGATTTCGTGTTATGCTTCTTGAAATTATTCTTTTTCCCTGTATAATAAGGTTTATGCTGCTATCTTACCCTACGAAGAGGCATCTGTGCTCTGTGGTGGCAATCTTCCTGATTATATTGCTAAGGTATTTGCCAATATATTAAAAAACTTGCTGATTCTGCTTCCATTATAAACCTCGAGTTTCCAGCTTACAGATTTACGTTTTTCCTTAAAATGACGCCAAGTTCTTATAGGAGTAGAATTTTTATAATTGAGTTATATCAATTTTTTGCACTCAGCTTACAGACTCTCTGGAGCCATTTCATTCTTGAAATATATAAAACTCAAACTTCTATCTTCGCTTACTTCGCAGGGCAGCACTCCTCGGATCTTAAGATTAGGCGAAAACCCCGGGTGTCCGTGTGGTGGGACCCATGTCTCCGATATATCTGATATCATAAGCATGAAGGTACACATCCAATATACCCAGTCTCAAATATATATCTTTCTTTCTCTTGTCATGTGTTTCTAAAGTCACATGATTCTTCTGGGTACTTTGTTGTTTTTGAAGATCACGCAAATTAGAACAAAGAAAGGAATGACAAAAGTTTTCTACACCATTGATGCGTCTTAATACCTCGCTTACTGGTTTCAGTTTCCATACGATTATGTATACAATTAGTCAAGGTAATCCTCAGCATTCACTTCTTCTTGTTACAGTGATTTCATAGTTCAATTGGTTAGTAGTCTCAAACCTTATCTAAAACAAACGAAGGTTCATTCCTACTGTCATTCCCTGAACAATCCTAGGTTACAAATCCCCGGCCTATACATAGTACTGGCTTGATAAATTATTAGCAACGAAAATAATCTCAAGTTGTGTGGTTTAAGAGACTTAGGAGTCTGCTTTGCACTAGATGAACATCAACTTGCAAAAAAACTGTATAATCTATAGTTGAAAATGGTGTTCATAAAGGACAAACCGAGATATTTCCCTGTCATATTCATTAGAAAAATCGCCAAAAAAAATCGGTACGTAAGCTAAATGGGATTGTTATGAAATGTCATATTCAGGGAAGGAATGATAGTGAAGAAGACTGTTTGGATCAGTTGGCTTCAACAGCAAGCAGCCTCTCCGGTGGGTCAACAGCCACAATTTATCATTTCTATTAAACGACTCTCCCTATCATTGATAAGTCGTATATGTTAGTTATTATGATCTTTCATGTGATTTGATCTTCCACTCAAGCCGCTTATTACTATTACTATATTCACTCTTGGTTCGTATAATCATACCGGACAATTTTGTCCGAGATTTTAACCCGTGCATCGGTTTGGTGTGCTTGTTTGGTTGGTAAAGTGTCCATGGGTGAAATCAACGCTTTAAAACCGGAATTTTGGTTTCCAAAACCCAATCAATCGGTGTCTTCTGAGTTTTTTT